TACAGTCGCTCGGTTTTCAATTTAGCTCGGCAGACCCATCGCTTCTCATCCTAAACAAGCATGGAACGACACTATTCATCCTAATCTACGTAGATGACATCCTGATCACCGGAAGCCATACATCCACCCTCGAGGAAATTCTCCAACGACTTAGGTCTGAATTCAAGCTCAAGCAACTAGGCGACATCTCCTTATATCTCGGAATCCAGGTTATTAAAAATCCATCTGGTTATTTCCTGTCTCAAGCACATTACGCACAGAATCTCTTATCTATGGCAGGATTTTCGGACTGCAAACCTTCACCTTCACCAACATCGCCGCGTCTTCCCAAGAATCCAGACAACCAACCATTCGATGATCCTCACTTGTTCCGGAAACTTGCCGGATCACTCCAATACTTGTCCATCACAAGACCGGACATCGCCTTTGCCACCAACAACATATGCCAACACATGCATGCTCCTCGCAACAGTGACTACACAGCTCTAAAACATTTGCTCCGATACCTCAAAGGCACGATAGATTTCGGTCTGCCGATAGCCCCAGGAGCGCTACAACTACGATGCTACACAGATGCCGACTGGGCTGCCGACGTTACCGACCGAAAATCCGTCTCAGGTTTCTGCACATTTCTCGGACCAAACTTAATTTCATGGTCCGTCAAAAAGCAGAACACGGTGGCTCGGTCATCCACCGAGGCTGAATACCGCTCGTTATCAGCCGCTACTTCGGACGTACTCTGGATTCGTCGATTAGCAAATGACCTCGGCATTCCGCAGACTTCTCCTACTACCATTCATTGCGATAACATTTCAGCCATTGCTCTAGCAAATAATCCCATCTTCCATGCAAGGACCAAACACATAGAGATCGATCACCACTTCATACTTGGTCATCTTCAACAACGGCACATTAGCATCGCTCACATCTGTTCAAATGATCAAATCGCGGATATTCTCACTAAGACACTTCCAATTAATAGATTTTTAGAATTACGATCCAAATTGACCATTCGGCTACCGAACGATGAGAATCATGTGATAATAGTCGAAACGTCCTTTGAAATCACTAGACAAAGATATAAGAAGTTAGGATACATAGCTGCAGATAATCTATGAATACGGAATAGGTTCGGAGTCTTACGATCGAGCTCTTCATTTATGTATCCAAAAGCAAGAAGCTACTTCGAAGCGATCAGCTGTAATCGATCAATAAACCCAAGATTTCTTTTCCCATAGATCTTTATTCTCCGTCAAAAAAGCGATATTTATGATTTGTAATTAAATTATCTATCATCTCTCGATCAAACGATCTGAGTTTCTGTCAAAATCAGATGTATCTGATGTGCCATCCGTGCTGTCGCTTTCAATAAAAGATGGACCATCGATCACTGAGGACGATCAGAAACCAGTAAGTATGTCCTGGAATAAGATTTACTCGAGACTATTCTCATAGGGCGATTATTCCATTCTACTATGTGGCGCGATCGGAGAAACAAAAGTTCTAGAATCTCTTGGTAGGGAATGCTCAATCGCTCCCCTTCAGACTGATCACTGTGAGGAAAAATCAAATCAAGAGGATGGCAAATGGATAAAGTGGTATGCCACATGTAACAGAGAGTGCTCAAACTTAAATAATAGAACATTGATTAGTTATGGATCAGCGGTCAATCTAAAAGATACGTATTTTGCATCATAATAGTTATATAAGGTATGTTCCGAAGTAATATTTTCTTCGAGAGATTATGAAGCTATAAGGTGATCTGATTTACGAGAGCTTATATATGATTTATAATTATGGTTAAGGAAATATTAGGCATGACACTGTAAGTGAGACTTAATTTTTTTGCAGGGACCACTTTTTGTGAGTAATATGTGCTTCAGATGATAGCATTAGATAGCAGACTGTGATGGAAAGAGTTGTCATTGACCACTAAATCTGTCATCGACAGCCATCTTACTTCGTTGATGACCAAGAACTTTCGCCTATGATATATACACATTCACTGAAGGATAATTGCGTTACTTATATTAACTATATATACGCGCAACTAGAAGACAAAAGAGATCCTCACGAATATGGAGTCAGTTGTCGAGTCAATGAACTACATAACTAGATACTACGAAGATCAGTTCGATCTAAATGAAGTAGAGTGTAGGTTTTATTTATTTTTTAACCCTCAGTGATTGTTTTATTCATCATATAATATAAGATTTATTTTGGTGTGGGGGGAATGATTAATGATCTCGCTTTAGTCTGAAATTGCGCACAAATAATAAATGATGGCTCATTTGGAACGATATTTCAATGTTAGCAGTTAGATTTATACATAAAAATAAAGTCTTAAGAACCGAGATTGCTTAATTCTCATGCAGAGACTAGCTTAAAGAGAATAACTTTCGAGGAATCTATATGAGTGCTATATTGCTTATGTGTTATTAAACCTACCTCCTAATCAATGACGGAACCTACCGAGTCGTGCTCTTCTAGATGTCATGGAGTTTGATCTGTGACTAAACAACTCGTAGCGAAAGTTTTTCGTGTATAATATGTCTTATCTAGTTTGTTACAATGTGATTAAGATGAATTTATTGTGAACCAAGTCTACGAAAGTCGATATCATTTTCCTTAGTCTATTCTATCTCATGCTATATTAGCTGATATACCAAAGATGATGAATTTTTTTTATCTGTTCTTTTTATTTTAGAACAGGATTGTATGAATTGTAAGATTTCTCACTTGACGCGCTTTTTAAGTATTTTTGTGTTGGAATACATTATTTTCTAATATTCGTTGACTAGCTGTATCTTATACTAATAACATTACCCAGAAATAAAACTAAGATTCCATCATCCTGCTCATTAAAAATACGAGTATGGTAAACACCAGGACCCCGGGACTGTTCGAAACCGGATTTATAACCGTCAAAAACTGATATGTGACGACACATGCAATATCGGCTTTAGTGAAAATACGGCTTTTTCAGATGTTTTAATTAAAAGGTCTCGATACACTCGGACCGGTGTTATATGGCCAATAACATACGATGTCAACCAGTGACACCTGAGGAATGCAGGATAGCCTGCATCGAGAGGTATGTATATGTTATATGAATTTAACCAGGTGAATATTTTCTTAGAAGTCAAACATTTATGTTTTAAATATTAAATAAATTATTTAGTTGATTATATATAAAAGTTATATATGTTCAAATAATAAAATAGCTTTAACATATAAAATATGTTATAACGAGTCTCGCATGTGCAAAACTTCAACGCAATTTATATATAAAAGCCGTCATGCATTAGGATAATTCACATTAATCCATGACAAGATTATAAATGATCTTGGAATGTGGAATGGTGTGTGGAAAACCACAAAAAAGACTCGAAGGTTTTTAAAATATAACAGGATATTACCGTAAGTAGATCCACTGCTTACACTATGGATAGATGAGAATAGTGAAGTAGTCCTAAACTTGCACAGTAAATAAAACTCCATCAACGCACAACTCAATGTCGTACAAAGGCCTCTTCAATGTATAGTTTATTACTTATATATACCTATACAATTATAGTTTTTTTTTATTTAACATTTTTTAATTAATTTTTATAATATGAATGTATTATATTTTTTCTAAGTAGATAATTTATTTTATTTATTTAATTGTGTCTCAACCAGTTTTTTAATCAATATTGATTAATTCATTAGATCTGTAATGACATTGAAGATTTTTCTTATAGAGTTAAGTTATGATAGAATTAATATAAGGAATGAATTGAATTGAAATATATTTGATATAGTATTGTAAGCCAGAAGAGGGAAGAGGGATTACAAGATAAAACTTTTTACTTAACTGTAAAGATTAATATAAATGTATACTAGATTTGTAGACTAATGATTTGGAATTCAAGTATTTGGAAGGTAAGCTATAGTTTCTAATTTGAATATACTTCTTCATATAGCTATTTTCTCGACATCGTTTTAAATACGATAACAATTTTCTGCTATATTTCCTTTTGTTCAATTATATATGTAGTTATATTTTGTCTTATAGTAGATAAGATAATAACATTATATTGGCTATGCGATTTTCGAAAAGTAGATTAACGTCTTATAGTTATAAAAAATATACTTATAGTTAAAATATCAGATAATAATCTTTTCATCGGCCTACTAAAAATAATTCTTTTTACTTCTGATAAAAATGATTAAATATATTTGTCTTTTATAAGATTTTAAGTAAAGAAATTTAATCTCTGCTTCTTACAATAAGAGATTAAAGAATTGTATTATATATATTATTTGTGATGAATGATTCTTAAGATTTTTATAGTAATGTGTATTTAAATAATAGATTTTAAACATATAAATTAACTATATTAATAGTAAATTTGAATAGGAAAGATGTATGAGGTGAAATTTTAATATTATCGGTAGATTTTATTGACTTAGTATGGTATTACATTATTATTTGTATTTATACGTATTTAAATTATTAATTTTGTTTATAATAATTAACTAATATATATATTGGCGTTGAGGATATACTATTCTATTCCGGAATTACTACGTTGAAAACATTACGGTTCTGTCTCAGAATCATTAATTAACTACGGCAGTAAAAAATAGGGTTGAGATGTGTATAGGTTAACTGGATTGTTTAGAATGGACTACTGCGGTCTAAAGATGTATCTCAGGAGTTCTTAGATGTCGCATGGAAGCACAGTCTGTATCTTTTCTATCCTGGTTCGGGATTGCGAGGTGTTCGTGTGTAAATAAGAATAATTGATTGGACACACATTGAGATTTATTTCAACAATATATCAATCATGTTTCATACTTATAGGACAAGGTTAGATTGCCATAAAAGGATTCAACACGCGTATATATTACAAATAGCTTGTATTTACATTTTGATGTTCTACAGAGAGGTATATCCCTAAGCATTAATATAGTATTTATAACCATTATCTATATATCTCTAAACATAATATGCTTTAGTACCTGACATAAAAGTTATCAGGTGACTGACATTTTGTCTTTTGCTCTATAATAATGTAATACGCTATATATATGTATCCTTGAATGCTATTTAGTAACATTTTGTCGTATGTTGTCGGCTTATGCTATATGAGTTTCTTCTTCTATTTGGGAATATATAAATTTAAGATCAATAGTTTTTCATTAGAGTCATGTCATTATTTTTTCTTTGACACAATTCTTAAGCATATCTTTCTCTACCATATTGTGACCTATGTCCTTTCAGGGTACGTATGTCTTTGCCGTGATTTTTTTTAATATGCTCCGTTGCTAATTTAGTTGGTCAAGTTCTTGCTATCCGTTGTTGTCCGAGCTTCTCTCCTTATGTATGTAATGTGCTTAGACCAAATTGTTTTTTCTTTGCTCTCATAGATCGCTACCTCTGAGTCGAATCGTAGTTGATTTATACATAGATCTATATAGTTCTATTTGAGCTTAACGCTGGAGTTCGAGCTCGTGGCTCGATAAACTTGACTCGCATGCATCGAAGTTAAATTATCTAGCGCTTTGGAGCTTGTAACAAATTTAGAGAATATCCAGCTTATATATGGGGTCTGCTCATGGGTGGCTCGGCTTTTAATTACGCTCCTAGACTGAAATAGCAAGATCTTTGGAAGATTGTTAGGTTGTCTCCTATATGCTAAGACATGTTATTTGAAACAATTGATTGCTTAATAGTGCGGTGAGGTTGCTCTTGTGAGAATGTGTAATTGATGAGTAGTTGATGTGGCTGAGAGGGATCTATCCCTGCTTTGCCGCGCACAGTGTGATATTCTATTGGCTCAGTGTCAATAGTGGTTCGTGTAGATTAGTTTCGCATTATTGCTTTCTTTCCTTTCTTGAGTGTGTCTAGAGTTGTTGATTCAATATGGCATTGAGTTGCATATTAGGCCAATCACTTAACAAGGCATATTTCTATAAGCTTGTTGATCTGATGTGTCTCTGAAGAAGACTATAACATTCTCTTCTACAGCAATTCTCAGAAATTGAGATACATTCTAGATAGGTCAAAAATATTTCAGTTTTCGTAGTCTCTAAAGGATTATTGATAAATAACAGGTAGTCTCATTTAAAATTTTGTGTTAACAAAATTAAATTTTCTTTTGGCTTCAAATAAGTGTATATAATAATTTATCAGATTATTAATTAGCTTATTTCTTATTTTAATAATTTTTTTTTATGAATATTTTGGTTTTTTGATTTGTGAAAAAATGTATTCAAATACAAAGAAGAATAAGAAATATTGATCTTAAATGTGATGTCAAATTTTATTAAAATTTTATCCTGAGCATATTTCTTATTAAAAGAATATTAACTTAATTTATATATATTATATTATTATTCTTATTAATTCTTTGCTCATAAAAATTATTTATTTAATGTTATGGCGGAAATAAAAATATAATCTTGTCTGGCAGAGAGAAGATTGGTTCGGATGGATAAAAATTGTAAAGTCATTATATATTTAAAATATTTTAAATTAGTTCTTATTTAACTTAATTTAATTATGTGTGACTTATTTTTATTAATTTTAGATTTGATATCTTAATTAGGG